GTTCCCTGCGGGCGCGGCCGAGGCCATGGCGGAGCCGGGGGTGGAGGTGGAGGGGGCCGCGCTGGTGCCGGCAGGGCGGGAGGCGGCGGCGTTGGTGGTGGTGGCTGCCGCGAGGCGCAAGAAGAAGATTCTGGACGAGGAGGCCTACATCGAGGTGCGGTGTGGAGCGGGGCGGGGCGGGGCGGAGGGGGGATGGGGAGAAGGAGCGGGTGGGAGAGGGAAGGCCGGTCCCCAGGGCGACGCCCCCCCAGCTGGGCTGTACGTGCCGCCCGCAGGGCCTGGAGAACATCATCCAGCGCGACTTCTTCCCCGACGTGGCGCGGCTGCGGGCGCAGCGCGAGTACCTGGAGGCGGAGGAGAGCGGCGACCTGGAGAAGATGCGGCAGATCGCCATCAAGTTTGGCTCCGCGCTGGGCCGCTCGGGCAGGGACGCTGCCGCCCCCTGTAAGTCTCGTGCGGGTTGCGTCCCTCCTGAGCGCCGTCGTGCCGGCAGCGAGCGCTCGCCTGCACGTCAGTGTCGTTAAGGCCGGAGAGCGCAGGGCGCGGCACGGGGGGCCAGGCTGGGCTGGAGAGCGGCGCGTGTTGCTCGTGTTGGTGGCGGCTGGGGTGGGCTGCCATGAAGGCAGGTTTGAAGCGAGGCAGGCACGAAATGAGCAGCACACAAGGAAACCTTTTCTGAACTCATCCTTGTGCCCCTTTCTAGGTCCCTGCAGTGCCCACACCTTGAATGTGGTGCCCAGGTTTGGTCCCCGCACCTCACAAAGGAGTTGGAGGAGCTGGAGAAGGGCAGCAGGGACGGTTGGTGGTATGGGGCGGCTTTCAAAAGAGGAGAGACTAGAGAGGCGGGGCCTGTTCAGTTTAGAAACTTGAGGGGGGGCATGGTAAAGGTGTACAAAATACTAAATGGCGAAGAGAAAGTCCACAGAGATTATTACCTTCTGTTTCTCACGATATAAGAACGAGGGGTGACAAGGTGGAACAAGGCAGAGAGTCAAAAACAAATAAAAGGAATTTCTCTCTCACACAGCGTGTCACTAACGTGTGGAGCTCGGTGCCACCAGGCACAGAAGTTGACAGTTTAGGCAGATTCAGAAAGAGGGACAAATTCTAGGAGAAAAGGGGTAAAAAGGGGTATCGGTAGCTATTGAGCACAGGAGTGAGGTCTACAGCCTCTGAATTGGAGCTTTCTTGACTTTTAAGTGCTGGAGGCTGCAAGTGAGAGAGGAACAGTGGAAAAAACCCTGGTCAGACCCAGTTCACTCTCCCTTTCAGCCTCTGCTCTCTGCCGCTGTGTGACAGGAAACTGCACAAGATGGACCTATGGTCTGACCCAGTAAACGGCAGTTTTTATGTTCTAGCTCCCACTGGATTCGAGGTTACTTCATGCTCTTAGACAGTCACGTTAGACACACAAATGGCCAGATGTGTTGTACCATGCTACACTTTCTTTCTATCAGGAAGCATTTTGTCATGTGAAATACACCTTGATGGATCAAGAAGGATAATGTAGCAGGCATGTTATATACAGTAAAAGCTCTGTTATCCAGTATCCCCTGGGAATGGGGGATGCCAGAAAACAAAATATGCCGGTTAATTGAGCGGCCCCTGCCGCGTCTGGGGTGTCCCTCTGCCCCTCCTGCGGCATTGCCATCCCTCCTGCTGCATCGCCCCGCAGGACAGGGAGGCAGGCCCCGTGCAGCCTGTTATGCCCCCGGGCTGTGGGGACTCGGCAGCGCAGGCTGCTTTGTCCCTGGGCGTGGGGGACTCAAGAGAAACCGGAAGTACCGTGGTGGGCATGCCGGCTTGTAAAATGCCGGATAGCGCAGCTTTTACTATACCCATTTTTGTTTTGGGTATTACTTTTAAGATTAGGTCCAATGCAAGCTCTAAATTGTTTAAAAATGCATGTTGGCAGCTTGTTTAGCATAATGAAGGGATTAGGGAAGAGAGATGCAATGAACAGTCAGATGCACAGTGAGAGTGTGATGGCAAACGCCAGTTCATGCCATAAACTGCTTTGACTGTGCTTGGAGGCAAGCAGCGCCTGTTGTTCAGAGTAGATGTACAGTTTCATTCAATAGCCAGTGCATAGAACTTGTTCCCAGTTATGCTTCCCATTCATTTCAGTTAAGCGAACATGCTGCTAGGTATGTTATGCTGTATGGACCTGTATTGTATAAACTTTTGAGACCATTTCACTGACCTTCTCTCCCAACCTAGTTTGGGGGGTTGCTGCCTGGGCTGGCATCTACTTAAATTTCAGCTGGGTGACTTTTTTTAGATTTCCCTGTAGAGGAACTTGGATCCTGGTTGGGTTCTGGCTGTGGTGTCTGGGTGCCTGCCTAGAAAGTCGTAGCTAGTACTTGACTGATACCTTGCCCCTCTGCAGCAAAGGCTGTGTTACTGAGTGGGATTGGTGCTGCCAACAACCTAAGCTGGGCTATCTCAAACATGTGCCAAGATTTGTTTTTTGTCGGGAGCTTTTGATTTGATTAAACCCCAAAACCACAGCATTTGGGGTCCAGTCCCCCCAAGTCATTGGGGAGTTTTGTCATTGGTTTGAGTAGGAATAGGGATGGTTGTTTAGCAGAGCAGAAGGCTCATCAGTGGTTAGAACTGAATCAGATGTATATCATTTGACAACCTTCCCTGCTTTTTAGAGAGTTCCCTTCTCCCAGCAGGAAGTTGCATGCCAGTGATGAGTAACAGGAGCAGATAGCTGGCCCCTTTGGAGAAGCTGCTGCCTCTTGCTTGACTGGTGGGATAATGAGCTGATGTCCCACTTCACGCTTTGCTCACAGCATTGACATTTTTCTCTGCTACAGATGTTACTCCAGCCACATTTGAAACACCTGAGGTGCATCCAGGTACTGCCCCTTCCTTGTTGAACAAGCCCAAGGTTGGGATCAAAGCTGCAGAGGAAGGTAGGCAAGGGGCTTTGCCTTGCAGGGTGGGGGGCATCCTCCAGTTGAAAGGAAGATAGTGTTGTGAGTTCAGTTTCCTCTGATGTTAATATTCTGCTAAGCGCCAGATAGGGGAAGGACTTCTTATAACTCTGCTAAGGGAAGTGCTCTCCCAGGTTGTGATGCTGCAGGGCTCCTGAATGCAGTCTCCTAGTTTAGGCAGTTCTGAGGAGGTGGCTTTGTTATATCGCACAAAAAAGGCTAATCTAATGCCTGTGGGCAGGGTGATAGGGCCATAGCCATATGTACGTACATCAAAGAGTGCAGGCTGGCAGGTGAAGGAACAGGAATAACAGTGCTTTAATGTGAACCAGCAAGGGGTCCTAAAAGGGCCTATGGAAAAATGAATCGTAGATCCTTCATAACTGAAGTCAACTCAACACTGGTCTGAACCACATACGTATTTACCTTAAGATGCAGAGCCCTCACAAGTGTTCAAGGGCAAGGGTATGCAACCTTTTTTTTTTTCGGTCAATTCCAACCCAGCCCCCAGCTGTGGGCTGCAGATCTCTGTCCCTTGATGCAACTGAGATGCCTATGATTTCCCTTGCCACCAGTCCCTGTCTTCAGTGGCAATGGAGAGGGGCAAATTCTTTGTGTGAGCATGGGCATGAGATGGCAACAGGGAGAGTTGCGGAGGGAGGCTCTGCGAAGGAGAGGGAAGTAGGTGCAGCATTGCTGTGCACCTTCAATTTCCCCTGCTGGATCTCCTCTTTCAGCTCATGAACTGTAGCTTGCTAACCCCTGCTCAAGTGAATAGTGGACCAGTGGGGAGAAGGGTTCCAAAACAGATTAGTAACTAAACACTGACCTTTACAGGAAGGGGGAGGGAGGTGTGAGCATCTTTCTTAATTACTTTTTTCTTGTTTTTAGGAGATGCAGAGAAGGAAGAAGGTAAGGACGTTCTTCCTAGCCTGGACAGCTTCCTAGCAAAACACACCAGTGAGGATAATGCCTCGTTTGAGCAGATCATGGAAGTGGCCAAAGAGAAGGAGAAGGCCAAGCATGCTTGGTTATACAAAGCCGAAGAGGAGTTTGCCCAGGTGGGGAAACGGCTTGAGAGTATCCAAGCTGTTGTAAAACATTTAAGCTGTGGGAATTGCCGCCATCTGCTAAACCAAGCAAGAAAGAAATATGCTTCATTGTTTCTGTTGGCTTTTATGTTCTCTTTCACTGTGGGGGTCCCACTGACTCTCTGAGATACAGATACGTGGTTGTCTTCAGATACAAGGTTGTTACAGTAAAGGAAAAGGATTCGCTGCCTTGACTTAGAGTTGTGTGTGCACAGGGGGATGGGATCTGTTGCACCAAGCTTCAATATGGGGTCTGCTCCAATTTGCTGTGGCCTATGACAGTCACTTGCATCCCTCTGTTCCAGTTGCTCACCTCCCCCCTCGGGGATAATGATGTCTTACTCTCGGGTGCTAAGGCTTATGTTTGGAGAGAGCTTTGGAAATGTGAAGGGCTGTAGAAGGGTAGACCTGTAACTCTTGGCAGGCCCCTTTCAAAGCTGCAACATCATCACAGAGAGCAGTTAAAAAGCAGATCTCATTTATTCATCTGTCAACCTGTTGCATGTTGCAGAAACATACCCTGCCTCTTTCAGCTCCTGATGTTAAGAATCCTCTGTGCTGCTGATATAAAATGTTGTAGGTAAAATCTGACTGGAGACACTTAAAAATAGTCTTCCCCATTTAGCTTCATAGAGTGTGTGTGAAGCAGTGATAGGGGTTGGAGCCCAAGTGCCAGTCTCTCTAGTTGAGGATTTGCCTTTGATCCCACAGAGTTTGCCACCTTCAGTCCACCAAGGTGCCTTAAGAATAATTTACACTTCTCTGCCCCCATCATGAATCTGGTCTTCTAAATGGATCTGACACCAAAGGTATTGGATCCATTCAGAAAACCAGGCTGGCACTAGAATGGGGTACTCCGAACACAGTGAATGCAACCTGGGCACTAGAAGAGGGTATTTAAAAATGCAAGAGGCTTTTCCAGGACTAATACCTGTACATCTCCCTTTCAGTTTCATGTGTTGTTATTCTGCTACCTGATGATATTCTCCCTAGTTTTTCCAGTTAAATAGTCTCTGAGCTCCTCTTCACACAAGAGCAGAGCAGCTAAAAGACTAAGCCCAGAGAAGCAAGCACAGGCATTGGGAGCTTGGTTTTCTTTGCAATGCAGAAATTTAAAACTTTGTTCTTTATTTGATTCCAGCGGCGACAAGAGAATCTGGCGCTGCCCTCAGCAGAACAGCAGGCCCTCGAAAGCAGCAAGGCTGGACTGGAGACATGGGAGTACAAGGCTCGCAATTCCCTCATGTATTACCCAGCAGGTGAGGCGCATGCTGGAGTGCAATCTTCCAGCTTGGCAGATGCCACGTAGCACTTGCATTTCATTTTTTGCTGCTCCTAGTGTTTTGCTAGTTTGAGCTGCTTTCACTGGGATCATATTGTTCTTTTCTCTTTGCAAAGTGCGGATACCTGCAGTTGCCAAAGGAGCCCTTTTTCAGTTTTCTGGACCCCATTCCCTCACCTCGCAGTTGCTGTGGCTCTTGGCCTGGCTTCTGTTTGTATCCTGGGAACTCAGTTTCCCCAGTTGCACAGGTGTTTTGTTTTGGGAGTAACAACTCTTTCCTTATGGGTTTGTCTTAGGAATGAGCACCTTCGTGTTCTGTGTTTGCTTGTGCACAGCCAGCCCAAGTAGGATTTAGTGCCCTGGCTGCTGTGCATAAAGGAATGGAATTGATTCACAAACACATTCTGGGCCTCTGTACTTTGACAACCGAGCATGCCCTAAATCTCTATAAACGGCAAAGCACAGCGACTTGTGGGTTTCCGGCCTTTCAAAATAGTCTTGATTTAACCTTGCTTTCCAGGTGTTGTGCCATAGATGTAACTATTTAGTAGAAGCTTATTTTTAACTGATGCAGATGGCAAAATGCACTGGCTCATGACCTTCATGTCTTGCAGAAATGCCAGTAATGAATGATGATTAGGCTGTTTGTGGGCCTTAGACTCCCCTGCCTGTACTGTGGGCTCTTGGCTGCATGGTGATACTGCAGTTTGCTCTTTTAGGTGTGCCAGATGAGGAGGACGTATTCAAGAAGCCTCGGGAAGTTGTCCACAGAAACACCCGCTTTCTAAGGGACCCATTCAGCCAGGCCCTGAGTAAATCGCAGCTCCAGCAAGCAGCTGCTCTCAATGCCCAGGTTAGTTGGCAGACAGGACTTTGCTTGAACCCTGCCATTGGTAGGGCATTTGAGCTGAGGAAACTGAGCAAACGAATTGCAGATGATTGATGCTGGCTTTTGTGTTTCAGTACAAACAAGGCAAAGTGGGGCCAGATGGGAAGGAGCTGATACCTCAGGAGTCTCCAAAAGTGAATGGCTATGGGTTTGTGGCCACCCCCTCTCCTGTTCCTGGTAAGAAGAGGTTCTTTTTGCTCGGCTGTAAAAGCAAAGTGGTTTGTAATGCAGCCTTTTTCCACTTTTTGATGTGCCAGACATCCATCCCTAGGGAGACATTGTTCCTGGAAACAGGCGGGGTTTGACCTCCATTGTGCATGTCTGAGCCAAGAGCTCTCGGTGTATAATACATGACAACTCAGCGTGATGTTTGGTGTTCTGCATAACTCTGCATATCCAAGACATCAGAGTCAAAAACTGTGCTCATCTTGGGACCTCTGAACAAAGCTGTGTCTCTGCTAAAGTCCTTTTGTAGGGCAAATGCTGTCTTTGGAAAACCTGGCTGACTTGAGGCAGGGAGCATCGATGTTTTTTCTTAGCATTTGGTTTGCTCTTGGAGGATGCGTGGATTTAAGCACCACACAAATGTTAACCTTCCAGTGGCAACACCTACATTGGGATACCTCCCATTGTTCCCTGGGGGGGGTCAGGCCAACTCTCAGGATCTCAGTATTGCGCTGTTAGATAGGAGGGGGTGTGACACAATTGCACATATACAACACACACACACACACACACACACACACACACACTCTACTAGCTCAGGCACATACACATCCAAACCAGCCTAGGCACATGCATACTTATCACCAATTCAAACACATACACTATACACCCCAAAAGTTAGACGCAGATCACTAATTCGTATATCATGCACACAATGCCGTGTGTGTGTATGCACATGTATGTATATTTATAGACACACTCTCACACTAGCAACTCAGATGCGCACACATTCAAAATAACCAGTCTAGGTTCATGCACACCTGGGGGGGGAGCCTGAAAACAGAGAGACAGACAGCAGAAAATCACAGAAAAAGCAGCAGGAGAGACTGAAAGGCAGCAGGGGCAACAGGAAAGCAGAGAAAGACAGCAGAAAATCACAGGAAAAGTGGCAGTAGGAATTGAGAGGAGATCGGGAAACTAGTGGAGAGGGGTGGGGGCTGGAATTGAGAGAGAGAGATTGAGGCCGGAATTTAAGATAAGGAACTGGGATTCAGTAAAACATGACCCAACTCGGGGTTGCAAATGACAGTGGTTTTATTGAACAGTGGAGATGGTGACACAATGCCAAATTGGTTCCCTTGCACCCCCCCGCCCCCCACACACACACACACAATGGCAGCAGGGTTAAAGATGCTTGGTGCAGGGGCTGAAGTCCACTGAAGTCCAGGAGGAGAGAGAGAATGACGGAGGGAGAGAGTCCAAATTGTAGGAGGAGGTGTGCAGGTAATATCTACCTATCCAGGCTGGAAGGGGTCCTTGTCCAGTAGGTATTGTCCAGAGGAGGGTCGCCGGCAGGGCCTCTGGGTGGATAGGCAGTATGGCATGGTGCTGGTCCAGATGGAAATGGCATTCCCACTGGGTGTGTCTTCACTGCCCCTTTTTATAGGGGCAGACCTGGTATGATCCTAGTGACAGGAGGCACGCCCAGGCAAGGGTTAGTCCCTGGTGTACTGAGCATGTGTGCTCCATGCAGGGATGTGCAGTTTCTGGTGTCTAATGGTGAGAGTTGCTGGTTTTGCAGGGTCATTTGTCTTTCAAACGCTGGTCTTGTCTCTGTTCCTGGGTGAGGTCCGTGGTTCCTGGGTGAATCAATGCAAGGTGATGGCCCAGTCATTACAGGCCATTCAGTAGAGGCCTGCTACCATTGTATTTCAGTCATTCCCAATCAGACTCATTCATCGGGGAACCAGTTTACATGGGAGGGGTACGTGACTCATACAGTTGCAACATGGGATGCCCGGGCAGAGGACAGAAGATGGAGGCTTGACATATAAAATGGAAACTTGACATGACTTTGGTTCGCTTACAAACACAGGTCTAAACCATACACTATCCATATGAAACAATAAAAATTAGTATGAAAATGATGATAATACAATATACAACAGTCAAAATCAATACAAACCTAATAATAATACAATATACAACAGTGGATATCCAAAACCAGAAACTTGCTACCAAAATAAAAATGTTTAAAGCTTATCCTACATCTTAGCTTACTTATACTTATCTATAGGGAAAAGAGAGGGAGAGAAAAAGTCAGAAATGATGGGGGAAGGGGGGGAGGGAATGCATTTTAAAATAAATAAATAAATAAAAAAGAGAAACAGGGTTTTGCTACACCATAGGGCTCTGAGCTTTTGTGCCAGGTGGCTCAGGGGCTGGTTCCCCAGTCATCTGTAGTGCATTGCAGACTCCTTGTTCTGCATCCTGAGATTCTCACCCAAGTTTTGGTTGGGCCCTGCTGTTTTCTGTGTTTCTCTCTCCTCTCTGCTCTATGGAATCTTTCTGTATTAGCTTGCATTTCGCTGGCTTTTGGGGCCCCCAATACAGAACGGATGTGGACAAATTGGAGAGAATCTAGTGGAGGGCAACAAAAATGGTGAGGGGCTGGGGCACATGACTTACGAGGACAAGCTGAGGAACTGCGCTTATTAGGTCTAGAGAAGAGAAGACCTGAGGGAGGATTTAATAGCAGCCTTGAACTACCTGAAGTGGGGTTCGAAAGAGGATGGATCTGGACTGTTCTGAGTGGTGACAGATGACAGAACAAGGAGCAGCCATCTCAAATTTTAGCAAGGGAAATTTTGGTTAGATATTAGGAAGAATTTTCTCACTAGGAGGGTAGTAAAACATTGGAACAGGTTACCCAGAGAGGTGGTGGAAGCTCAATCCCTGGAGGTTTTCCAAACCCAAAGCTTTGGCTGGGATGTTCCTGCTTTGAGCAGGGGGTTGGACTAGATTGACTTCCTGAGGTTCCTTCCAACCTTAATTTTCTATGATTCCATGGCTTAGCTGATTGTTTATGTATAGTTTTAACTGAACTGCAAATGACCTATCTGGTGTCTTGATTATAATTCAATTTGCTCTGTTTTTATTGGGTGTTAAGTGATCTTAGGCTGACCATTCTATAACTCTCATCCATCATCCTGGAAGAATGGGATCCTGGCATCCTTTTTCAAAGTCTTCAGGGGGCATTTGCAAAGTAGATCATTTCTCTGATACACACGCTTCTTCCCTAGAAATAAGTCAGCTAACAAGAAGATCTAGTTTTTCCTGACAGGTCAGCTACTGAATGAAGATCTTATAGAGTTTCCCGTCTCTCCAACATTGTTAAAGGGATGCTGTCATCTTAAACTGAGTCAATGTTAAATATTGAATTGAAAGCAGATTCAGGTCCATTTGCCCTGAGTCCTCTGACTGATTTCCTGTTGTTCAGTTGTTTTTCCTGTTGTGAAGAGCAAAACAAGGAGAAAACAGGCTGTTGAGGAAAGAGGGAAACTAGCCATAAGTTAAGCACTTCCAGATGAACAGAGTAAACCTCCTGAAAAAGACATAAATGTATTTATTTGTTGTCTTGACTGCTTGGAGAGTTGTAGCTGGTAACACACTCTCAGGCAACGCTGAGGATTTGAGTTGGTGTCCTTTGAAAGGAAGTTGCTTGCCTCTTCCTTCCAGTGAGGGTATGATCTCTCAGTAGATGGTTGTTCCATGGTGTGACCAGCAGTTTGTGCTGTTTCATAACCAGCCTCTCTGCCTGTGGGGTAAGTAGATGTTCTGCCCTGGGACAGTGACCGTGCATCTGAGGCATTGTGGTCTGGATAGATGTGTAGTATCACAGGCTGATTCTTCTTAACTTGTTGGTAGGTGTGAACGAGTCTCCTCTTATGACGTGGGGAGAGATAGAGAGCACCCCACTGCGGTTGGATGGGTCGGAATCACCGTATGTGGACAGAACCCCTGGACCAGCCTTCAAGGTATTGAACCTCCATGTCGGGTGTGGATTGGGGAGTGAATAGTTTGTGAATAATAAATGGGCTGATACGTATCTTTATGGGGTCTGTGACGCATCTCTGGAACACAGCTGTCAATGTACCTGGGCCCAGTAACACAGTGCTCTTGTTAACAGCCTGGAGGCTGAATTGGTTTGTTATGTTTACAGATCTTGGAGCCTGGGCGCAGGGAGAGGTTGGGACTCAAGATGGCCAATGAGGTGGCTGCTAAGAACCGAGCAAAGAAGCAGGAAGCATTAAGAAAAGTCACAGAAAACTTGGCCAGGTGAGCTTTCTTCACTATATACAACCTATGGAGGCAGGGTGGGGTAGAGAGTATTTTCCTATGAGAATGAAATCAGCATAGAAAAGAGGGAAGGGAAAAGAAGGAAGGGGCTAGGAATGGATTTGAAAATGCTGGAGGTAGCTGTGCTTGCCCTTGCCCTTTCTGCTCTCCTTTAAGGCCAGACTGCCCTGGTTGTTGGAAGGCCTGGGCCACAACTGGAGTGAAGCTGTGGGAAGAGGATGCAGTGGGCCTAAAGAAAAGGGAAGGCTGGACTGCTCACATTAAGGACCTAAAAGGGTTCCTGCCATTAACATGATTGTGGGGGAGCTGCACAGGTGAATGGAGGCCTGTGGAATGGAAGAGCATTTGGGAGGCTGATGACAGGGCACCAGCAGAGCAGCCGGCCTGAGTCCTGACCTGTGCTGCAATTAAAGTAGTCCGGGAGAGGGGAGGGTGGCCCTAGTGAAGGACTTGCTGGGGCCTGTGGTAAGTGCCGTAGTCCATCCCTCTGATATGTGGTAAGTGCTTTTATTTGCACTTCCTTCTAAACTTCCCTGCTTCTGTTCCAGTCTCACACCTAAAGGACTGAGCCCGGCTATGTCACCTGCTTTGCAACGACTAGTAAACCGGACTGCGAGCAAATACACTGACAAAGCGCTGCGAGCCAGCTACACCCCTTCCCCAGCCCACACGGGACCCCCTGGCTTTAAGACCCCAGCAGGTGGCACGAACACGCCCACTGGCACCCCAACACCCAAGACTGTCTCTCAGACTCCAGTTACCCAGGACCCCACCTCCATCACAGACAACCTGCTCCACTTGCCTAAACGGCGGAAGGCATCCGATTTCTTCTGAGTCTCACCTTCCCCAGCAGCCTGCTGCGAACTGGGAAATACAAGGCTGTCCGTGAACCCTGAGCAACATGTGTCACCAGGAACAAAGGGTACCTGCCAGGATGCAATTCACTAGTTGCTGGACGTGGGACCACTTCCACCGTTGGGGGTGGCATAGCTCCTGCAGAAAGTGCACCATTACTGGGACAGAAGCAAAGGTGCCTCTTGGGGAGTGGAGTATTTTTCCACTGTGCAATATTTTCTTGGCAGTACCTGGATGTGTTGCACATTCCCTATGGGACAGGATCCCTTCCAGAAATGGATTGTGGCCAATAGCCAGGACTGTGGAGGATGTTTTAAAATTTATTTTCTTGTTTTGTTTTTTAAAGTGTCCCTGTGGATTGTATCTGAATGCCTCTTTCTGTACAGATGTATCTATTTATAAAGTGTAGTGAGGCTTCCTATAAGGGCCTGTGCCCAAACTTCAACCAAGGTGTTTGTGTGTCACTGTAAGGGGACAGATTTGATGACTAAAGGAAAAGTAGGCATATTCTCTGTTCACCCATTCCCTCCTTGGTCCCAAATCTGATTGGACAGACCCATTCTCAGTCCAGTATGTTTCTTAAATTGAGCGAGGCCTAAATCTTCACTTTTTGCTGCACCAGTTGGTTATGGAAATGGCTTTATTAACTAAGGTGTTCAGGCTTTTCAAATACGTGCATGGACACACATACAAGCCTTTCCCCCTTTACGTGAACCCAAAACCGTGTCTGATGTGCACCTGAACTAGCCAGCTTTTTTATTTGTAAAGGCACCAAGACCTTGAGAAGCCTTTGAATCTGAGCACAACTAGCAAGTAAGCAATGTTTTGTCTGGAAATAAATTTAACCATGGGTCTTGTGTTCACCTATATTGCCAAATGCTGTGCATTGGCGAGAGGGCTGCCCAGGCCAGAGATGTCAGATCCCTGGCTTCTTTGCTGGCTTATTGTGTCTGCTGCTTCTGTGCTCACATTCCTCCCCATCTTTCATCTGAGGATGGCCATTAGGAATAAAGGGGGGAGGGGAGGAGCCCTCTATCTCTGTAGAAACTAGTGGAGTAATGGCTTCCTCCAGCACAATGCCAGATTGAATAGAATCATGGCAAATGGACCTGCCACCTTTACCATTGGCTGCTGGGTGGAGAGTGAGCACTACATGCTTCTGTGCTCACATTCCTCCCCATCTTTCATCTGAGGATGGCCATTAGGAATAAAGGGGGGAGGGGAGGAGCCCTCTATCTCTGTAGAAACTAGTGGAGTAATGGCTTCCTCCAGCACAATGCCAGATTGAATAGAATCATGGCAAATGGACCTGCCACCTTTACCATTGGCTGCTGGGTGGAGAGTGAGCACTACATGCTATGGCCCTTTTCTGGTGGCCTCTAAAGTTCATGAAAAGCTTCCTGCCCAGCAAGATAAGCATCCACATTTCTCTTGAAGGTGTTCAAAATAGGTGCTTGAACCACCTCCGGTGGTAGTCTATTCCAGGCCTTGGGAGCTCAGACAGTAAAGAAGTTCTTCCTTATGTCCAGCCTGAACTGGTCATGGAGGAGTTTGTGACCATTTGACCTCGTCATCCTTTGGGGTGCTCTGGTGAACAGATGTTCCCCCAGATCCTGGTGAGCACCCCTGATAAACTTATAGGCAGCCACCAAATCGCCCCTGAGCCTGCACTTTTCCAGGCTGAAGGGTCCCATACCTCTCAGCCTCGCATCATAAGGTCTGTTTTCCTGATCTCTGATCATGTGCGTGGCTCTCCTCTGGACTCTCTCGAGCTTCTCCACATCCTTTTTGAAATGTGGAGCCCAAGCCTGGACGCAGTACTCCAGCTGTGGCCTCACCAAGGCCGAGTACAACTGGAGAAAGATGTCCTGGGATTTGCTTGAGAAGCATCTATGGATGCAAGCCAGCATTTTGCTCGCTTTACTAGCTGCAATGTCACATTGAAGGCTCATATACATTGTGTGGTCAATCATGACCCCCAAGTCCTTTTTTTCTGTAGTGCTAGCCAGTGTAGCACTGCCAAGCCTAAAAGCATGCTGTGGGTTTTTCCTCCCAAGGTGGAGAACCTGGCATTTTTTGGTGTTAAACACCATCAGGTTCTCATCTACTCCTTTCCTGAGCCTGTTAAGGTCATCCTGGATCGCCCTCCTGTCCTCAGGTGTGGACGCTTTACCCCAAAGTTTGGTATCATCAGTGAACTTGGCCAGTCTGCTTCTGACACCAATGTCCACATCATTAATGAAGATGAATAGCATTGGCCCAAGGACAGAGCCTTGAGGAACCCCACTGGTCACAGCGCACCACGACGATTGACTTCTGTCAACCACCACCCTCTGGGTTCGACTACAGAGCCAATTCCCCAGCCAGTGGATTGTGGTGAAGTCGAGGCTGCAGTTGGCCAGTTTTGCTAACAGGTGATCATGGGATACCAGATCAAAGGCTTTTTTAAAGTCAAGGTATATGATAGGTCACCTGGTCATAAAATAAGATTGGTCAAGCAAGACTTACCCACAACAAATGCGTGCTGGCTATCCCTCAGGATGCTGCCATTAAGTGGCTGCTGGCTCAGGTCTGATCAGATGGAGAGCAGTCATTTAACTCTTCCCGGTATAAAACTGTTGAACAAAAAGCGGTTGAGCTGCCCCTTGAATTTTATTTCAGTAGTTTTCAAATCACAGCTCTCCCTCTCCTGTAACTACCGAGTTGCATTTCCTGTCTTGCTCTGCTTGACTGCAGCAGAGTCACTGGCAAGGGCTGATGACTGAGGCAGTGAACATGCACAGGGAGCAGGTGCACTGATCCTCCTATGATTTGTGTTGTCAGTGGGAGGAGGAGTGGGGGCACTTTAAACACCAATAAAGGAATTTTTCAGAACTCGGGGTTTGAAAGAAACGGAGTAGAAATATCTTCTTGGTGAGGGTCTGGGGTGGCAGCCAGCAACACTTCAGCAGACATTTGAGTTGATTTTCTAAAAATACTAGTCATTAGCTATGGTGGAGAAGAAAGCTTGCCAGATGAAAGTGAGGCTTCACTCTCCTCCCAGAATCCAGAGTTGCTGCATATAGCTTTGCCCTGGAGCAGCCCCGTGGCTGTAAGATCCTGGACCATTTCACCAGTGCAAGAGTGCTACTGGCAGCAAGATTAGAGCCCATGCCGATGGAGAAGGAGGTGAGGAGCTGCAGCAAGGGCTGGGGTGACAGGAACAAAAGCCTGAAAAGAAGTCTAATAGCAGCACCTCTTCTGATCCCTCCCTCTCTCCTCTGGCTCATTCAGAAGCCTGGAGGAGGGAATGGAGTAGTGGAGAGATGCATCTCCCTTGCCGTAGTACAAAAGCTTTGGCAAAGGGAAGAGATGCAAACATCCCTCCCAAATGATTTGACACCTCTTACAGGAAAGTGGTGATAAGACATGGAGTCTATAATGTAAAGCTTGCAGGAACTCCAGCATCTTCACCCTTCCCACCTAGCAGGAGTTAGCCCTGGAGAAAGTGAGATACAGGAATGCTGTCTCTTCCCTATTGTATCTCTCCCCTGTTCTCTTTGTTGGCTAGGAGGTGGATGGTAATTTTTCCCCACAAGCCTTTTCCAAGCTGCAGTATTTTTTAGCTTGCTCAAATATTGGAACCAATCACTGTTCTTTTTAAGATGGCTACATGTTTTTAATAGCTGCCCTGCCCCCATACAGGATAACATGTTTGATAACTAGTCATTTACAGTATATGGAGAAAATCTGTGTTAAAAATAAAGATGCTGGCTTGAATTATTGATGTGATTTGGAAGCTCTGCTGGGTGATCTGGGCAACTTGTGCACTTCTATCAGGGTGACGATAGGTGATGGCACTGAGTGGGGACTGCAAATCAGTACCGTGGCAAGCGGGGGGACGAATGGGGCAACCACTCCAGGTCCCAAAGCGAAGGGGCACCAACAGGCGCTGCCCAACTGAGCTCATTTGGGGAGGGTCGGGGGGAGGGTGGCTCCTGCTGCTACATGCACTCTTGGGCAAGTGTGTGGGGGGGTGCCCCCCTAGATCTGTGCATGGGGCAAGGGCAGGCTGCTGCTGCGAGTTTGCCTTGGGTGCCAAACATCCTTGCCATGGCATTGCTGCAAATAGTATTTTTCAGTCTACTTTCACATAGGCAGACATGGACGTTGGGACACCCAGAATCTGATTTGCCCCATCCAATAGCTGAGAAAGAAGCTCACCTTGTTCTAAACCCATCTCCCCACTCAGGGCTGCAAGAGCATTACAGCTGGTAACTTAAAATTGTTAACAAAGTGCTACAAGGTTTTAAATAAAGGGATGTGCACTACCTGAAATTAGAGTGGTTTTGAAAATAGAATCCAAAGTAATTTCAGGCTCTGCAACTATCCTTGAATGCCTCAGAAGGAAATTGTAGTTTTACAGTCGCAGCTTCCACCTCATCATAACAATGCTCCCTGTTCCTGGTAAATCTGTTTTGCACCTATCTGCGAGACCCTTAAAAATGATGCGGGAAACGGATTAGGTAGACTCCAAGTGTGTTAAATTGACCTAGAAAACAAACTGAAGCCAGGCAGGTGTATTCTTAGAGTAATTGTGGGTGTCACTTCAAATGAGAGGTACCTAGCTAGGCAGAACTGTAGTTTTTAAATGAATGTTTCCTAATCTCTTGTTGCTTTTTGTACCAATAGCTGTCTACTGTTAGAATGTGGCAAACACTGTGACTGCTGCCTTTTTCCCTGAAGTCCACCCTATTAGGTATTTGAAATAAACTGCACGTCAGGTTTTTCTTAACAGCGGGGCGCGCACAGTTTAGCAAAACCTATTTGCCTCCATCATGAAAAACCAAATTAGACCTGCTGTTGTGATGGTGCTGCATGGTGCTGCATTCAGTCCCTAGTGAAGCTGAGTGGGAAATTGGCACACACCGTGACTCTGTCACCCTGGCGTCAGCGTTTGATGGGAAAGAACAATGGCCCTTTGTTCCATGCATATAACAACACTGGCATGGAAAGGGCGAGTTGCTGCTCTTTGTTTCCACATATGAATTGGGGAGGAGACTAATGACACATTGTGCAGAAGAAGCCTTGGGTCAGGGCAGCGCTTTCAGCATAGCAGGTTATAGGAGGAAAAAGTGCTTCATAAGCTTTTACGATGAATGGGTTTGCAAAGTCACTAACCAGCATTAAAATTGTCCCCTTGTTTAACCCCTTAATTCAGCAACATAGTTACTAGTTTAGAAGAAAATTTAATAGAATTGCTATAAAATAGTTGCTTTTTATGAATGGACTTTACTTTCTCCTGTACTGGGTTCTTCCTGCCCTAACTCATAACTTGTGTGAGAGCTACGTTGACAGTTAGATCTTTAATTGCTGCCATTTTTATCTCTGTTCTTTGCATTTGGTCTGCAAGATCATTGACCTCTGCATGTTCCTCCTAGTTCACTGCATCCTCTGTTTCTGGCACTATATTCAGTTTGGCAGTTGCTTTAGACTTAGGTTTGTTGTCTAGTTACACTGGGAGCTTGGATTCCTACTGTTGTTCTGACTTTACCTTTTCTAGATTCTGCAAATGCTCGTCTTCCTTTGCAGCTGAACTTCCTGAAGGAGCTTGAGATTTTGGAGTTTGCATCCAGATATGACTCAAAACCTCTTCAATGCGCAACCTTCGACTCACGTCTGGCTGCAGCATGCGGTAAATTAGATCCTTGCATTCAACTGTCAGGTTTTTAGACCTAGGGAAGTGCACTCTGTGTTCCTTCTGCATCCTGAGCATCTTTCTAATGTTTGAGTCATCATATGGCATCGATCCACAGACCATTATAAACAGAACGACACCCAGACACCATATGTCATAAATCTTGGGTTGATAGGGAATGCCCTGTAGAACTTCAGGGGCGGCATATGCTGCAGAACCACAAAAAGTTTGACTGGGAATAACTTTCCCATTTTGATCCCGACTCAGTTGTTTGGAAAAGCCAAAGTCCGACAGTCTGATGTTGTAGTCCTTATCTAGAAGTATGTTCTCACATTTCAAATCCCTGTGGACAAAATCCAGATCGTGGCAATACTTGATGGCGGTGCACAGTTGGCAAAACATCTTGCGAACTACATCCTCAGTCATTGCTCCTTTACTTTTGATGAACTCCAGTAGGTCACCTTTTGCAGCAAGCTCCATCACAATGTAGATTCTGCTTTCAGAGGTCTCAAATATCTCATAGGTCTTGATAATGGAGCGGTGCCTCACCTTTCCTAAAATATCTAGTTCTCTGGGGAGAAACTTTTCTAGGAACTCAGGAGGAGCTTTTTTACGGTCTATGATTTTTACTGCTACATCAAATTTCATTTTTTCAGCATAGGCAGATTTCACTTTAGCATAAGACCCTTCTCCCAGAATAGTCCCCAGAATGTAGCCTCTGTTTTTAAGGATTGCAGCATCATCCATGGTGCTGGAGGCAACAAGTGAGTCATAAATTGAAGTTGATGGTGCATCATGGATGCTAGTAGTCTGCTTGTATAAAATCCATGGTGGTTATGAGATGACCTGTTCTCTCAAGCTGGTTCAGATTGAACCTTCAGCATTGTTTAATATATGAGGTAGACGTGTGATGTCACAAACCATCTGTTAACAATGGCTGGTGAATTAACATGCCTTTTTCAGAATGATTATAAAGCAGCTAGAACCAAAGATCCAAGAGCAGATTCTAGCACATCATCTACAAGAAACCTCAGCTTATTTACACTTTTAACTCCCTGGTAAAATTATTATTCCATTCATTCCTACCAGCCGAATGGAAAAAATTTAAATTAACTTTCCTGTTCTTGTCTGAAAAGTACTAGATTTTTTTGTTTTCTTATGTATTAATAAAGCCTTGCTGGATGTGAACAGTGGGGTCCCCCAGGGCTCAGTCCTGGGGCCTACACTGTTCAACATCTTCATCAGCGACTTGGATGAGGGGGTGGAAAACATGTTGTCCATGTTTGCCGATGACACCAAGATGTGGGGAGAGGTAGGCACGCTCGAAGGGAGAGAGAGGCTGCAATTAGACTTAGACAGACTACAGAAGTGGGTGGATGGTAATAGGATGGGGTTCAATGTAGATAAATGCAGGGTGCTGCACCTGGGGAGAAGGAATCCACAGCATACATACAAGTTGGGGAGCTCCCCCCTTGTGAGCACAGAGGCGGAAAGGGATCTTGGAGTCGTTATTGAGTCCAATAGACACTGGCGCCGCCAATGCCAGACTGCAGCCAGCAAAGCCAACTGCACCTTGTCGTGCATCCAAAGATGCATCTCAAGCTGGTCCAGAGAGGTAATACTCCCCCCCCATGCGACATTGGTCCAGCCTCAACTGGAGTACTGCGTCCAGTTCTGGCCACCGCACTTTGAGAAGGATGTGGCCTGCTTTGAGAGGGTTCAGAGGAGGGCCACCCACTTGGTTGGAGGGCAAAAGGGCAGGCCCTATGAGGAGAGGCTGAGGGACCTGAACCTGTTCAGCCTCAGCAAGCGGAGGCTGAGGGTGGACCTGGTGGCTGCCTACAAACTCGTTAGGGGAGATCAGCAGCAAATAGGAAGAGCCCTATTCTCCCCAGCAGCACCTGGGGTGACGAGGAACAGTGGCCAGAAGCTGCTGGAGAATAGGTTCGGGTTAGAGATTAGGAGGCACTATTTCACTGTTAGGGTGGCTAGGATCTGGAACCAACTTCCTAGGGAAGTGGTCCTCGCTCCTACCTTGGGTAAATTCAAAAAGAAGTTGGATGAACACCTGTCTGGGGTCATGTGATCCTAGCATGTGCTCCAACCAGTAGCGGGGGTTTAGACTAGATGATCTATTCAGGTCCCTTCTGACCCCCTAACTACTATGAAATAATATGCTTTGGCCTGCTGCGCTACTGTATTTTGCATGTAGGTTGGATACTAACATAATTAGTAGCCTGAGTCTTAGGGTATTGCTTGTATGGCTTATGAGAAGACAAAATAACCTGAGAAGCCCTATGGAATGCTTGACTTTCAAAAAATGGCTTCCTGTTTAAGTCTTAAATTGTCCAGTCTTAGGAATGTTATTCAATCTATTATAATGACATTTCTAAAACACATTATTTATTATACCATAGGAGCCAGTAAGAAAAGCCTCTTTTTTGAAATAAGTATAGTTCAACCAGGAGAGCTTGCAAATTTTTCAAAGGCCTAAAGTCATTGAGCTTTTTTGAATGTAATAAATATAAAAATCTATTTTGGTGGCTAATATTCTTGTTTCTTAAAGCTGAACAGTGTAACTGTAATCTAATTTACCCATGTCAACTTCTGCTGTAAAATTCAGAGAATCGAACCCTATATGGAGGCTCCATGCTTGTGTACACATCTTTCCACACCCAGTTATATATTTCTCATGCAAGATAATACCTTTATATGCAGCAACTAGATGTATTTGGCTGAGTTTCACCCTGAAAGTAGAAATTCAGCCTGTCTCAATCACCTTTACATCTGCCTTTTGGAAAAACTAAACAGACTTGTTCTCAGTAAGTCTCACTGAGGGCTGTTTTTGCTAGATCCCAGATCATTTTTGTTTCAATCCTTGTCAAAATTCAGACACCAGAACTGTATCCATTGTCAGTCTAGGCAGTGTTATATACAGAGGTAAAATCTACTTCCTCCTACTCACCACTTTAGCCATTTATATATCCCAAGATAGTATTTGTTTTTTTACATCCACACGTAAAAGTTCAGGCTGAATATCCTGTTTGCTATGACCCCTCACTCCTTCTCAGTTGCTGCTTTCCAGAGTCCAGTCCTCTGTTCTGTATCCATGACTTGCCTTTCTTGCTCTTGGGTATATAACTTTCCATCTGGTTGGATTAACGCGCTTTTCTTTTATTTATTTATTTTTTTTACAATGGATGCAGGTTGGTGTGTGATCCAGATCACACTGCTTGACTGCCCTGTCATCCTTGTTGTTCACCACTGTTCTCCATGAATTTTCTCAGCATTGATTTTTTTTTTTAAATGTTTAATTTCAAACCTTTGATGACAGTGTCAAGTGGAATCTGGCTTAGTACTGATACTGGCAGACACCACTTGAACCTCCCCCCTTTAATGAGGAGGTTGCCATTGACAGCTTCTTCTTGGAACCTGTCAGTTAGTAGCACAGAAAGTCATTATTAAAAATGTGCCACCACAAGCGTCTGTAAATTATATGATAAATGGATTAATAATTGACTAAGTCAAACATTTTACAAATTTCTAAGTGCATTAGATCTCCAGTTACTTTTATCATCCAGATTTTTAATTGATTCAAAGAACTAAATTGGGTTTGTTTGACGAGACGTATGTCCTATAAAACCATTTTGACTAGCATTAATTATCCCCTAATTTGTCAATTAAATCAACCAACAATGGAAAAGTACGGCTGGAAGAGACCTTAGGAGGTCCTCTAGCCCAATGCCATGCTGAAGGCAGGATCATTCTTGGCTAAACCATCCCAGTCACCATCTGCCTAAATTTCTCTTAAAAAACTTCCAATAATTGAGATTCTATGGTCTGTTGTTCTGTTATCTTTTGCATGTAATTGATGTTAGGATAACTTTCCTATAGTTAACTGGGTTGTGCTGCTTTACTGTTATTTTTTAATACTGTTATAATATTAGCCATCTTCTGGAATTTTGTGATATTCTGAGATGTGTTACAATTAATATCTGCAAGGCTGGTACCTTCCAAGTCCATTCTTTTATGACTGTGTGCGCGCAATTTATCTAGACGTTTTAGCTTAAAATGTTTATTCTTAGATAATGTATGTTAACATTTGTCTTTGTTATTTCACCCACTGATGTTACACAAGCACTTCATCCTGATTATTTCCACATGCTGAACAGAACTATTTTTGAATGCATCTGTCTTTTTTTGCATCACTCCTAACAACAGTTTTGCTGTCTTCATTTAGTTACCAGATTATGCTATGGCTCAGCTTTCTTTTGCTCCTAATATACTTTTTGAAAACTCATTCTAACTGCCCTTAGTTTTCCCAAACATGGATTTTTTTTCTGATGACTCCCTTTTTTAATGCTTTTAACTTACCTTCTCAGGTTTACCGTTGCTTTTGCAGCCCCAAAGTGCACTGGGCTTCCAGGCTGAACAGGGGGGCGTTAGCCAGGTCCTTTTTGGTGTTGCAGAGATAGAGAAAAGAGGAGCCATCCTAGCGCTTACTTTGGAGGAACCAACATACATGATGAGAGTGAGCTGCAGTGTTAGGGACACTAAGAAGTGTATGAAAGATTATTGCTTGGATTGGGCGGAAATGGTCAAAGGTTCAGCAGAGCTTAGGTGGCCTGTTGGGCTGGTATAGTTAAGCTAGAATCCTATTCACATGCCTTTTTCTCCCTGGACTCAGTGGCCAGGTATCCTGATCACAGCTGGCTTGACCAGGGGTGGTTGTCTGCACAAGTGTGGAGTAAGGCTTCAAGTGATACCTCTGAATTTGTAGCCAGATGCCACTCTGCTGCCAAGCCGCTAATTAGTCCCTAGTGGGGATGCAAGTGGAGATGGATGAAGATGGGGTGAAAGCCAGTGGACACAGGGGCCTGTAACATGGATGAGATCTGACCTAACCATAATCTGCAGTTGTGGTTCTTGATATCCTACTCTGCAAGGAGTGGAACGTAGTGGAGCTCCCCAGACCTGCGTGTGTCTCTACAAGGGTTTCCTTAAGTGATCAGAGACAAAATTGTTCAGTAGTTCAGTTCTATGGTGTTGGAAGGGGGAGGGGGGGTGTTGTGGGTGGAGAATGGTTACCCTTGAAGGAAGAGGCATTTGGATCTACTGGCTTGTATTTGAGATTGGAAACCCAGAAAACTTGACTTCTAATCCCACTGCTGCTACTGACTTGCTGCAACACTGGCTGGGGGCCTTCAGTTTCCTGTGCGGTTGTTCCTTTTGCAAAATGGGTTTGATTTAACTTGGTTGCTTCCTGGGGTTATGCAAATGAATGAATAAGAACACAGATTCTTCAAAGATTCAAAGCTGTCTTCACACGAACATTTCAGACCTCTCTAGAAGGGAAAAGGAATTGATGCCTGATGAGTTGCCTGTTCTTTTAGTATGGGTTGAGCTGCTTTTGCAGCAAGGAAAGCTAAGTATATGAGAGATGTTAAAAAAGCACAGAGGATTCACTGAGCTATCTCTAGTGTACTGTTGCCATCTTCAGAAGCTTGTCAAGAATGGAAACATTTCTTGTAAGGTCCATAGAGGATGGAGAAATAATAGTAAAGGGAAAATGTGTGCTGGAGCCTACCTTCTCTACAGGGTGTCTCCCGATATTGGGAAGCCAACAGTTTCTCTAAACTGCCGTCTTCCTAGCATGGGTAGGGTTGCATTTCTTCACTGGCTTGGTTAATAGTGCAGGTGAGTCTTTCATTCACTTGACAGTGAGGAAATGGTTTTGTGCAACCTGCGATATGAATTTCACTCACATTGCTCTGCTAATACACATTGCTTTTGGCCTGTGTTAGCCCTTTCAGTAGAGACTTGGGACTCTGGTGACAATGTCTAGGTAACAGGCATTAGAGTGCTGTATCTTTTTGGTACAGTACTTCTGTTGCATGTTAAAGAGGCACAGTACTAGGACTGCTTGCTGATGGTTTTGTGGGATGGTTGACAAAGCCAACAGTGAATGCTTCAGATGCACTTTCCCTGGTCTAATATAAGGCTGTGCACTGAGATGAGAGATTAAAGCATCAACTTGCTTTGCTAGGAAACCCCTTTGGTGACATGAAAATAATTAGGGTAGAGGGAGGTGTGTGAAGCAGGTCTACTGCATCATACCATACAACCTAAATGGGTCAGCTTTTTGGGACAAACATCACATGGGAACAGCCGCCTGCAGAAATAGGAAACATGGTAAGAAACCTTGTTTGGGTTCTAAATGAAAGCAGGAATCCAGTCAATTATTGTTCCAAAAAATACCTTGTGTAGTAGTGAGGAGTCAGGACTGTCTGCACAAGACAGCCTGGAGATGGGGGATGCTGCAGATCATCTGCTGCCATTTGTAGGAACCCGACACACTGGATTCTTCTGCTTAAGAAGAAACAACAGAGGAATTAGCAAAAAAAAAAAAAAAAAAATGCAGAATTTCACCTTGGTTTTTCTCAAGAGCTGCCCTGGAATATCTTTAATTAGAATTGTTTTATGGTACAAATCATACAATTGAGCCACCAAGTATAGAACAAAGTGGGAAAAGGAAGATGTCAATGAGGTTTCCATCAACAACTGGCTAGCTGGGGTCTTCCAGAGACTGGGGGAAGTGTGACTGTTCAAAGGAGGAAGTCCATCTGTGCAGGTCCCAGCCTCTGAACACACAGGGGTTTTTTCAATTCCAGCCTCCTGTGGAGTAAATTATGGAGATTATTTCAGGGACAGGATCACAAACTGAACCCTGCAGGCTTCGCACGGCTGTGACTGGCATATGAAAGTTAGTCTTAAAATGCCCTTTCATGTGCCTGCACGCACAAATTGGGAACCATGCAAACTTGTTTTAATGGATCTCGGCCTTGTGACAGCCCGAGACCACATGTGTGGCCAGGACTGGAGTTGATGACTTGCACATAAGAACAAGGTCCTTTTAAGTATAACATTTTCAGATGACTTGAGAGATCAACGCTGCACCCTGTTGCTTATATAAGTGCTTAGTGGAAGGAAACAATAGCTTTTTGTTCCACTGAATAAAAGAATGAGCAGGCTGCAATTCTCTGCGTTCCCAAACATTAAAACGCTGATAGATCCCATAATAGCACAAGACTGGAAAAGGACAGATAGTAAAAGGAGGCTTGTACTCGGCTAGAATCCACACCATTCCAACATGGAGGGAAAAAATATACTCCTTTCCTTCTGGTTAACATGTGATAATGAATTTAGTGATTTATTGATTCAGCTATATGATTATCAAGAGAGACATCAAAAAATCATGTAATTGTTAATAGTTCTAGGCTTTTTTGCTGCTTCCTCCTTTAGTCCCTTTTTAAAGTTCGCATAACAGCCTTGATCATGATTTACACTGGTGCTGTGAAAAATACCAATCTTGCAGGTAGATATTCTTTAATTGCTGCCATTTTTTATCTGTGTTTTTTGCATTTGGTCTGCAAGAACATCAATTTCTGTTTGCCCTTCCTCTTGCACAGCATCTTCCGCATTTACAGACAAGTTCAACTTGGTTGCTGTTTTAAATTCATGCTTCTTGTCTGTTTTTGTTTCCGCCTGGGGCTCGTTTTCCTGCTTGTGCTCTGACTTTACCTCTTCCAGGTTCCGAGAACACTCGCCTGCCTTTGCATATAAAGCTGGTGAAGGACCTTGGGATTTTGGAGTCTGCATCCAAATGTGACTCAAAACCTCATCAATGTTCAACCTCCGACTCACATCTGGCTGCAGCATCTGGTAAACTATATCCTTGCATTCAATTGTCAGGGTTTTAGACCTCGGGAAGTGCACTCTGTGTTCTTTCTGAATCTTCAGCATCTTTCTAACATTTGAATCATCATATGGCATTGATCCACAGACCATTATAAATAGAATGACACCCAGACTCCATATGTCATAAATCTTGGGCTCATAGGGAATGCCCTGTAGAACTTCAGGGGCGGCATATGCAGCAGAACCACAGAAGGTTTTACTGAGAGTAATTTTTCCATCCTCATCCCGAGACAGACACTTAGAAAAGCCAAAGTCTGACAGCTTGATGTTGAAATCCTTATCTAGAAGGAGGTTCTCACATTTCAAATCCCTGTGGACAATATCCAGATCATGACAGTATTTGATGGCAGAGCCTAGCTGGTAAAACATCTTGCGAGCTACATTCTCAGGGATTGACCCTCTAGTCTTGATGAACTCCAGTAGGTCTCCTTGTACACCAAGCTCCATCACAATGTAAACTTTGCGATCAGATATCTCAAATATCTCATAGGTCTTGACAATTGAGCAGTGGTTTACTTTTGCTAAAATATCTATTTCCCTGGGGAGAAATCTTTCCAGGAAGTCTCGAGGCGCTCTTTTTTTATCTATGATCTTTACTGCCACATTGAATTTCAGTTTTTCAGAGTAGGCACATTTTACTTTAGCATAAGATCCTTCTCCCAGTTTCATTCCCAGCACATAGCGTCTCTTTTTAAGGACTGCAGCATCATCCATGGTGCCAGAGGCAACAAGGGATTCATTAGTTGAAGTTGACTGTGCATTACATATGCTAGCAGTCTGTTAATATATTTTCCATAGTAGTCATCCAGGATGTCCTGTTCTCTTAAGTCAGCTGATGTGGAACCTTTGTTATTGTTTACTATGTGATGTGAACGTATGATGTCATAAAGCAGAGACGCTATGAACAGTGACTGAGTATAAAATATGATGTATATCCCACTTTGTTATCTGGACAGGAAAGTGAGGGGAAATAATTGGGGTCTGGAGTAGATCGAATAAAAGTAAAAGGTCGAATTCTAGATGTTTTGGGGAAGAAGGAGCAAGATTTGGCTACAGCCTGGATATAGGCACAAAAGAGAGGGGAAGGTCAGAAGAACCAGAGCAGACAAAAGACGTGCTTTCTGTTATTAAAACCATTTTTGTGGTGGGAGGACCTGCAGAGTGAGATGTGGGACCAGACAAAGACAGGGAATGTGATAAGCGGCTATTAAAAATGGGATAGTCCAAATACAGCATTTGAAGTGTAAGAAGCCTTAAAACCCACCCACCAAATTCTGGCCTCCACCTTGTAAAGAAGAAACAGATTTTCATTCATTTCTGTTTTGTTTTCTTTGCAGATTGCTGAAGGTAAAGGCAAGCAGCAAACACATGTTCAAACACTTAGCAAAGAAAAACTCAACAAGACCAAACGGTAGAGAAAGAAAGCCGAGGCCTGAGACATGCTCCATGCAAACACTGACAATAAAGGAGGCAGTCCTGGGTCAAAGATGGAAAGCAGACTCTTCCAGGTATTTGAACCTAGGTTATACCAGTGCATGCAGTATTCTTACACAATAGTCTGAACGAGATCTGTGTGAGAGGAGCATGGCCTAAATGCAGCAAGGATAATCTCATGGTCAAAGCAGAAGCTTGAGAGATGGGAAGTATGGACTCTAATCCCAGTGCACCCTTGCCCTTGTCCTGGTCTCACAGGCCTTGGGGGCCTATAACTCCCTTAATTACAATTACAACCTACAATCTCCTTCTACCTTGTCGCACCTTTGCCTATCCCTTCCAGATCAATTTTTATGTTATCTTTCCATTGCTGCCTTGGTTTGCCTTGAGGTCTGAGAGCTATTAATCCCAGCTCTAGGGCTAATATTGTGACCTTGAGTAAACTCATTAGCAGGGATCCGGGTTTTCCATTTTCCATGGAAAAATGAGAAAAACCTGCAGGTTTTCCCTTTTACCCCAAAACCCCCCCACTGATTTTTAATTTTAATAGAGAAACACATGGATTTTCCACTTTTGCAAAGAGCAGAGTTCCAGCCTGCAAGGGGCTGGGGGAGCAGCAGGAGGGCAGTCAGGCAGGGGACATCATATGCATGTATATGCACATGGCCACCAGGCAGCCTGGAGAGCAACTCCAGCAAGTAAGTTGAGGCGGGGGAAGATGGCGGGGTGAGGCATCTGTACAGAGGGATGGAAGGATTTGGGCAGAGCTGGGGCAGGGGCTGGAGCTATTGCCCAGCCCGGGCGGTGCATGGGACTTGGGACTTGGGGCTGGAATGCACGGGCCCAGCAGGGAGTGGGACGGGGCCACAGGCAGCTCGTCCAGGGGTCGGGGTGGGGCTGGCTCCCTGTTGCTGTGTGCACTCCTGGGGGGCATGTGCCCCCCAGATCTGTGTGCAGAGTATGGGTGGGGGCAGGCATGCCTGCTGTGGGCTCGGGCTCCCCACCCTGCTGCCCTCTCCTGGGGCCTTTGCAGCCCAGCGGGCGGGACCTGGCATGGCATGGCATGGCATGGCATGGCAGAGTAGGGCTGGGCGGGGAAGCCTCTTGCCACTGCAAATCCTGCACCACCCTGGCACGGTGCCCTCTGCCCACCTGGCAGCAGCAAGGGGCATGACTTCATGCCACTGCCCTGCTGCTGCCAGGTGGGCAGGGGGCACCTCGCCAGGGCAGTGCAGAGCTTGCAGTGGCAAGGAGTTTCCCCGCACTGCTCTGCCTTGCCGCACTGGGTCCTGCCCGCTGGGCTGCAGAGGCAGTGCTGCCCAAGGGGGTGGGAATGCAGTGGGCTCTGCCCTCTGCTCTGCCGCAGCACCTGCTGCCTCCCATGGATGGCAGCCAGGGCGCAGGTGCTGCGGCAGACGGCAGGGGCCTGCAGACCTGGGTCGCTGGCACTGTAGCCCCAGCAGCTGGGGCCCTCTGTGGCAGGGCTGGGGAGTGGGGGGCAGGGGGCTGTGGCTTGGGAGTGAGGGTCCTGGACCTGCATCCTTGTGAGCTAAGGAGGCAGGGGGAGCTCTGATTTTTCATGATAAAAACCCCCATATCAAATACCAAAATGTATAGGTATTTAGAATTTATTTTATCATAGTGACTGAGGCACTGGTAGGATTTAAAATCGTAAATATATCAAGAAAACATTGTGTTCACTTGATACCTATATATATAGTGGTGTTTCATTTTCATCACGAATTTGGGGGTTTTAATCAGAGAATTTGCAGTTTTTATCTGAGAATTTGGGATTTTTAAACAGAGAAAACCAGGACCCCTGCATTAGTCTTCCCCTGTTTGACTTTCCTCATCTGATATAGCTTGCTTTCTCAAACACCCGCGTATCGCGCAGACATGAGTAAAGATCTCTATATTCTTGCCCATGCTGAGCAGCTCAGCATCTGCCTAATACCTAGGCATGTCTGAGATTCTCAAACTTAACTAACCATCCCTCTGCCACTAGCATTCAGACCTCGGCTAGGGCTGCTGCTTAGTTTAAGATTTGTTAGGCTGAAGAAGAGAGAGAGTGAGCATGAACCCATGGCCTTGTGGTAAGGGTCCTCACTGGAGATCCCTGTTCTGGTCCCTGCTCCTAGGACTGTTTACACACTTTATCTTTTGACTGTCTAATTAAAATCAATAACACTCCTTGCAACAGGGATGGGAAGCCAGGTCTCTTTCTTCCAGCAGATCTTGAACTTTTTTTCAGCTGTGTGGAAGCACTTTGGTAGGAGGGCTGGGAAGTGCACCATTAGCTTTTCATTATATGTGTGTCAGGGCACTCTCCTGGTCGGTATGGGTCTAAATTGCCTCAGGTACAAGAGAGATTTGAACTTAGGTCTCCATATCCTAACCAAAAGATTATTATATAATAAGGTGGGGACAGGGAGGGAAGGGGAGTCACCCTGACGCTGCCTCTGGGTGTGTTTTAAAAGACAGAGATCTCTTCTTTGTTTTAATAGAAATGGCTTAGGTCCTTCACTTAGAGAGGGTTGGGGGCTGCAAATCCTGAGTGGAGGTAGGTATCTCCCTGCAGTGTAGAAGTCTTGGAGAAGGGTGGAGTATAGGGTGCTGGCTGGGGTGAATCCTGTTCCAGGGAGTCTAGCTCACTCTTCCCATGCATTGCGTGGGGAACTCAGGTGCCTTACTCAGGCCTGTGGCTTGTCATCCCCAGGAATGACAGGTGCCTACATATGATCGTGGTGTCCAAATCCCTTTGTGGATCTAAGGCCTAAGCCTTAAAAAAAAAAAAAAAAAAAAAAAGTGCCACGTAACCATGACTGCACAGCTTTTCTCTTATAGTGGGATGGGGGAAGAGGGTTTCTAAAACTATGTATAGCAGGCAGGAGAAAATCCTGCCAGGGCTTAATATATGCCCCTGAATCTGCTGCATAAAAGTCTGAGGTTTGCACATGAACACATGCAACCAGATCAGATCTGGCTCCAGAGGTACTAATTAATCTGCAGGGTTCAGTTGGAATCAGTGGGAGTTTCAAGTGCTCAGCACCCTTTTTGATCACTGGTCTGTAGAGCAAAAGAGATGACTTATGTAAAGTCTTGGTAGTGTTGAGGTGAAGATGAGGTCACCATGATGGTTCAGGAGATATGTGAAAAGCAAGAATTCTTCTAGGTGATTAACTTTTATTGCACCAACTCCAAGGTTGGTATAGACATAGGTAGGTTAGCTTTTGGGATTCACAGTACTCTTTCCTCAGGCCTGTCCAGCAGGCTGGCTATGGTGAATCCTGTTCCAGGGAGTCTAGCTCACTTTTCCCATGAGTTGCATGAGGAACTGAGGTACCTTACTTGGTCCTGTGGCTCAGGCCTTACTCAGACCTGAAGGAGTAATGAGATACCTGAAAGTTTGCGTATGTCTATACCAACCATAGAGCTGGTCCAATAAAAGATAATTACCCTTGACTTCCTTATACAGTCTTACACATGCAGCACTTTGACAGTGTCACATCAGGATTTCTTCAATTTTGTGAGTCACAACTGCAGGAATATTTTACAGTAATTTATACCATAGTTAAAGGGAGACTTTGATCATTCACTAATGAAATGTCCATACATTAAAAAGCAATGCTGATCTGAAATGCATAAATAATGACAGTGATTCACAAATGGGCAAGAAGAACAAAACACTGCCAGTACTGCGTTTTGGCTAAGAACTTGAGACTTAGAATTGAATTCTTTTCATTGACCAGCTATTTATTTTAAAGGGTTTGTTAGATAACTGCAGAGCATACAGGCTGTGCACTCTCTTTCACACTCACACTTGCACATGTATGCATGTTCTTTGTCTCTCTCTGTCTCGTCATGTGAACTGAGTACATGCATTTAATCTCAACTGACAGCATAAATATACTTCTCTTATTTTAAGGGCGAGGGCTGGCTTGTATAATTGTAAGCTGCCTAGCAAAATGGATCCCTGATGCATTTGTCCCTTTTGGCACTATCAGACTTTAAGCTTATCTTCCCAAGTGTGTGTGTGTGTGTGTGTTTCTGACTGTTTCGAGCACTGAAATATTTACACCAAATATCCATGGAACCAATTTTGCAGCCCCCAAATGGCTAATCCCGTTTGCAGTGGGTCGTGGGAGAGTAGCTGGGATTTGGGCTTTATTCAGGCTAATTAAAGAAACATAACATGTTTAAAAATACCTTGGGTGTTCAGCCTGCTAAGAATTGCATCACATATTTAACGAAGCCAGTAACAAGTGGCTCAATTTTAAACTGCTCTGACTTTGAGAGAGATCAGAGCTTGCTGAATACAGTGTCTTCAAAGTGCCGAGAAAGTATTCATTAGAAAGCACACTTCATTGTGCATTAAGGAAAACTATCAAAGCTGAATAAACAAGGATGTTAGAGACCATTGTCATTAATGAAGATAAATATTTTAGCAGCCTTGTGCCAGGAGGGGGTTCTTGGGAAACTTTTGTTCAAAAATATGGTTGCCAAATTAAAGGCGAAGTTGGGATGATTTTCCCATCTCTGGTCGACTTTGCTAAATCATTTCTGCTACAGGCAATCTGTCAAGGGCCCCATAAAATGGTTCAACAGAAGTGTTCTTCAGCAGAACCGGTTTTGTCACTTGAATGGTTAGATTGCACCAAGCATACAAATAATACCTGAAGGACGGATGTTGCCAGATTAGACCCACTCCACCTCTTTTGATGACATAATCAAAGCCTGGGCTACACTATAAATATACTTAAGATATTTTCCAGGAACACGGTTTAAGCAAAGGGCAGCTTAATATTTGCTCAGTGATGTTGATTCACAACTTGAAGGGAGGGAGAAAGTAGAGGATTTTTTTTTTTTTTTTTTTTTAATACCAGTCCCTGACATTTTGAAGGAGGAAAAATGCAAGTTGGCAAGAGTGAACTGTAATTTGAATTCTTTTAGTGCTGCTGACAAAAAAAATGTGTTGCAAAGAAGCTGACATATTCCTTCCAGAAGCTGCCCTTTTGCTTCTAGTCATAGCTCTGGCCTGCAGCTGTTGCCTTAAGATAGGGGTGTCAAATGTTGGCCTGCAGACTAGATCCAGCCAGCAGAACAGTGTCATCTGGCCCATGGGACTCCCAGGGGGGCTGGGAATTTGGTGGTAGGGGCCTGCTGCCAAAATTCTGGGTGCAGAGCCCTCTTGGCTATGCCCCCACAGCAATGGGGATGCGTGATGGCTGTGTTAATCTCCATGGCTGTTGCTGCCTCCGAATCCAGCCTGCGAGAAACCTTCTTGTCAGGATCCGGCTCACGAGGCAAGGTGAGTTTGACATTCCTGCCTTGAGAGATTAAGGACAAACCTTGCTCCTGTTGCTCAGGATTCAGCCCTTTCTCTTTCTGTTCTGTTTTGCAATGCACCAAACGTACATGGACACAGAGATGCTGCTTTTATTGATATATTATTAAACAATTCCATTGCTCAGTTAAGTTACAATTTTTATTTCCTGTTGAGTTTTCTACTGTTATTCATCCCTGGGCTGTACAAAGGAGAAGGGGGCAAACACCCTTCCCCCCCTCCCTGCAACTACCTTTCAGGAGGAGCACGAGAAGTATAGGAAAAGAATCATAGGATGTGGTGCCTGTGCTAGTCGGGGATTGGACTTGATAACCCAGCAGGTCCCTTATAGTCCTAAGTTTCTAAATGCTAAGGTGATGCTTCCAAGATCACAGAGTGAATCAAGGGTTGCAATGGGAGAGAAACACTAGTCTCCTACAAGCCCGCTGCCCCAGGGCCACTGGGGCATGTTGTTTCCTCAGGAAGCAAAGTATTAAAAGGTCGCCACACATCATTTGACAGCAGGTCCTTGGTAAATGAGGTTCACTAGAGCAGGAAATGAGACAGTCTGCAGGGTGTCAGATTATCTGCCTGCACAATACCTTTGCCCCATGATTTTGCATCTGTGTCACACAGCTGCTTTCCTGTCATCAGTGTATTTGTGCGTCTTGCCTCGCCTATTGTGCTGCCCAGAAGCAAGTGAATTCCGGGAAAACAGGTGAATTGTCCCACAGTGTCTCAGCAGGCGACAGGGTACGTGATGAGTTTATGTACCCACATGCTGAAGTTAGCAGTATGTGGTGCAGTGCACTCTGGGATGTCTTCATTCGTAGAGCTAGGAGAAGGAAGGAAGGAGGACCAGATTTGTTACACAAACCTGGGCAGGGGCTTCAGCCCCCACAAAAATGAAACAAACCCAATCTCCTTCCTTGAACTGGTTCCATTGGGGCATCCAAGGCTACTGGGAGAGGCAAAACACTTAGCTGGCAGAGCTACCAACAGATCCAGCCATTTGTATGGTATATTGATATGTGATACAAAGCAGGTTTAGTGCCAAAAGTGGCATCAACTGTTTGCAGACTTGCTTCAAAGTTGCAGTGTGAACAGGGCCTTAGATGTTAGTGCTACCTTTACTTCTGGCCTGACGGTATTACAAATTGCTTCCTTGCTATTTAATTCCAGCACCAAAAAACTGAGCCTGTGCCCCCTCCCTGATTGGCAGAGAGCTCTGTTGAGATCATTAGGAGGAAGAACAAGAAGTAATGATCCCTGAGGCCGAGAAAAGCAAGCAAAGTACTCTGAAGATATTCCTGGCCTCTGTCATGGTTGCCTCTCAAACTAGTAGCCCATATCTTATCCAAC